CCTCGGCCTATAGAGGGTTGTCTGTGACTGGACCTAATGGTTAAAAGGTAAAGGGACCCCTGACCATTAGGTCCAGTCGTGGCCGACTCTGGGGTTGCGGCGCTCATCTCGCTTTATTGGCCGAGGGAGCCGGCGTACAGCTTCCGGGTCTTGTGGCCAGCATGACTAAGCCACTTCTGGCGAACTAGAGCAGTGCACAGAAACACTGTTTACCTTCCCGCCGGAGTGGTACCTATTTATCTACTTGTACTTTGAAGTGCTTTTGAACTGCTAGGTGGGCAGGAGCTGGGACTGAGCGACAGGAGCTCACCCCGTCGCGGGGATTCGAACTGCTGACCTTCCAATCAGCAAACCCTAGGCTCTGTGGTTTAGACCACAGCGCCACCTGCGTCCCTAGGGTGCTTGCTTACAGGCTGCCAAATGGAGAGGAAAGAGTCGTAGGAAGAGCCTGCAGGATCAGGCCAGTGACCCATCTAGTCCAGCACCCTGTTCTCACAGTGGCCAACCAGATGCCTGTGGCAAACCCATAAGGAGGATCTGAGCACAAGAAGAAGAAGAAGAAGAAGAGTTTGGATTTGATATCCCGCTTTATCACTACCCTAGGGAGTCTCAAAGCGGCTAACAATCTCCTTTCCCTTCATCCCCCACAACAAACACTCTGTGAGGTGAGGCTGAGAGACTTCACAGAAGTGTGACTGGCTCAAGGTCACCAGCAGCTGCATATGGAGGAACGGAGACGCGAACCTGGTTCCCCAGATTACAAGTCTATCGCTCTTAACCACTACACCACACTGGCTCTCTCACTTCCTGTAGTTTCCAGAAGCATTTAGTGCCTCCGACTATAGAGGCAGAGCAGAGGCATCAGTGCTAGTGGCCTTCAAAATCTCCTCCTCCATGAAATGGCACCTCTTCAGACAACGCAGAGCTCCTTTACAATTCCCAGCACCCTTAACAAACTACAGTTTCCAGGATTCCTGGAAGGGATGCCATGTGCTCTGAATGTATGGTGTGCTTTAAATATGTTTTTTTAAAAATGCATTGTTTTAAAAGTTTGGTGTTTGGGAGGAAAAGTGGGATAGAAATTTAATACCAACCCTAATACCCACCAGTCCCTGGCCAAAGGACAGTGAGTTGTAGCATGGGAACATTGGGAAGGCTTATTTATTAGCTGGCTAGGGCGTTTCTGCAAATCTACTTCTTTGCTGCAGAGGGCAGCATCTTTCTTTTAATAGATTTGTTTTAAAAAGCTTCCAATAGCTTCCCGTTCTCCCAAAGATTTCCAGAGCATAGGCACATCACACACAACACAACTCAACACAATCTTCCCTGTATTCTTTTCAGCGCCTGCTAAAAACACTCTTGTTTAGACAAACCTACCCAGATGCTTAGAAAGTTGACGTGAATTTCAACCTGTTCTAGCATTTAAACTTGGGGTAGATTTTCAACTGTTGTTATATTCCCCCCCTTGATTTTATTTTTTTATCTTTTCGTAAACCCCTCTTGGGGCTGGGAGTGGATGGGAACACACTGCCTTTGCTTGTAGGTAGTGCCAAGATGGCGCTATCTTCAAATATCTGAAGGGCTGCCACGTGGAGGGTGGGGCCGGCTTGTTTTTTGCTACTCTGTAGGGAGGATCCAAACGGATCCAAATGATAAAAAAGGAGATTCTAGACAAACATCAGGAAGAACTTTCTGGTGGTAGAGCCATTTAACAGTAGAATGAACTCCCTCAAGAGGTGGTGGACTCTCCTTCCTAGGTTTTTAAGCAGAGGTTGGGTGGCCATCTACCAGGGATGCTTTAGCTGAGGTTCCTGAATTGCAGGAAGTTGGGTTAGAGCAGTGTTTCCCAACCGGTGTTCCGCGGCACACTGGTGTGCCGTGAGACCTTGCCTGGTGTGCCGTGGGAGGGAGGCGGGAGAGGCAGCGCCCGAGATCGCTTCTCCCCACCGCCCCTTGCTTCAAAAGAGGTCCGGGGACAGCGGGAAGCGCTTCGCGCTGCCCCCGGACCTCTTTTGAAGCAAGGGGCTGCGGGGAGATCGCTTCTCCCGCTGCTCCGAAGCGGGGCGGCGGGAACACCTGCCCCAGCCGCCCCGCTTCGGAACACTGCTCCGAAGCGGGGCGGGGGGGCGGGAACACCTGCCCCAGCCGCCCCGCTTCGGAACGCTGCTCTGAAGCGGGGCGGGGGGGGGGGCGGGAACACCTGCCCCAGCCGCCCCGCTTCGGAGCGCTGCTCCCCCCGCCGATGCCCCGATACCGGGCGGTGGGGCGGGAACCTCTCCCCCCGCCACCCGGCATCGGAACGATGCCCCGATGCCGGGCGGTGGGGCGGGAACCTCTCCCCCCGCCGCTGGGCATCGGAACGATGCCCCGATGCCGGGCGGTGGGGCGGGAAATCTCCTCTTTTAAATGCTAGCGGTGGGGAGCAAAGCCTTTCCCCCCCCTCCGGCCTTCAGAAGAGGTCCAGGAAGGCTGGCGGGGGCCGAAAGGCTTTGCTCCCCAGCGCCAGCATTTTAAAAGCAGTCCGGGATAGCAGGGAAGCGCTTCCCGCTATCCCGGACGGCTTTTGAAGGCAGGAGAGATCCGCGAAGCCTGGGCGCGCTGATGTCAGCGCGCGCAGGCTTCGGCATGCCGGCAGGTCTCCGCCAGCAACGGCAGCGCTGCCGCTGCTGGCGGAGAGGTCTGCGAAGCCTGGGCGCGCTGCGCGCAGGCTTCGGCATGCCGGCAGGTCTCCGCCAGCAACGGCAGCGCTGCCGCTGCTGGCGGAGAGGTCTGCGAAGCCTGGGCGCGCTGCGCGCAGGCTTCGGCATGCCGGCAGGTCTCCGCCAGCAACGGCAGCGCTGCCGCTGCTGGCGGAGAGGTCTGCGAAGCCTGGGCGCGCTGCGCGCAGGCTTCGGCATGCCGGCAGGTCTCCGCCAGCAACGGCAGCGCTGCCGCTGCTGGCGGAGAGGTCTGCGAAGCCTGGGCGCGCTGCGCGCAGGCTTCGCATGCCGGCAAGTCTCCGCCAGCAGCGGCAGCGCTGCCGCTGCTGGCGGAAAGGTCCGGGAAGCCTGGGCCGGACAGCTTTTGAAGGCAGGCGGGGGGAGCAAAGACTTTCGCCCCGCCAGCCTTCAGAAGAGGTCCAGGACCTCTTCTGAAGGCTGGCGGGGGGCAAAAGTCTTTGTCCCCCCTGCCTGCCTTCCCAGGGGCTTTTAAATCGCCCCGACAGCGGAGAAGTCCTCCGCTGTCCGGGGCGATTTTAAAATGCCGCCCGCCAGCATTTTAAGATCGCCCCAGACAGCGGAGAAGCCCTCCGCTGTCCCAGGGTTTTTTAAAATGCTGGGGGTGGGAAGAAAAGCCCTTGTCCCCCCCCCAGCCTTCAGAAGAGGTCCGGGGACAGACTGTCCCCGGACCTGGTCTGAAGTCGGTTTCCCTAGGAACGCATTAATTGATTTTCAATGCATTCCTATGGGAAACCGTGCATCGCAAGACGAAAAACTCGCAAGAAGAAAAAACTTGCGGAACGAATTAATTTCGTCTTGCGAGGCACCACTGTAATTTTGTCTTGCGAGGCACCACTGTACTTTTTATATAGTCAATATAGGCACAGAGTTAAATTTTTTAACATTTTCTAATGGTGGTGTGCCTCGAGATTTTTTTCATGAAAGAAGTGTGCCTTTGCCCAAAAAAGGTTGGGAAACACTGGGTTAGAGGACCCGCTGGGTTCCTACCCCCTCTACAGTTCTATGATTCTAGGAAGTGCCATAACTCTGTTCAAATGTTATCCTATTTATCCAAACAGAGTCTGTGCTTGTAAGCAGTCTGTTCATAGGTTGTGAGTGATGTAGAATCATAGAATCATAGAGTTGGAAGAGACCACAAGGGCCATCGAGTCCAACCCCCTGCCAAGCAGGAAACACCGTCAGAGCACTCCTGACATATGGTTGTCAAGCCTCTGCTTAAAGACCTCCAAAGAAGGAGACTCCACCACACTCCTTGGCAGCAAATTCCACTGTCGAACAGCTCTTACTGTCAGAAAGTTCTTCCCAATGTTTAGGTGGAATCTTCTTTCTTGTAGTTTGGATCCATTGCTCCGCGTCTGCTTCTCTGGAGCAGCAGAAAACAACCTTTCTCCCTCCTCTATGTGACATCCTTTTATATATTTGAACATGGCTATCATATCACCCCTTAACCTCCTCTTCTCCAGGCTAAACATGCCCAGCTCCCTTAGCCGTTCCTCATAAGGCATCGTTTCCAGGTCTTTGACCATTTTGGCTGCCCTCCTCTGGACACGTTCCAGTTTGTCAGTGTCCTTCTTGAACTGTGGTGCCCAGAACTGGACACAGTACTCCAGGTGAGGTATGACCAGAGCAGAATACAGTGGCACTATTACTTCCCTTGATCTAGATGCTATACTCCTATTGATGAGGCCCAGAACTGCATTAGCTTTTTTAGCTGCAGCGTTTTATGAAGTTTTATGATGTCATATCATCAATCCATTGATTAAAGGGTAATAATAATAATAATAATTTATTTATACCCCGCCCATCTGGCTGGGCTTCCCCAGCTACTCTGGGCAGCTTCCAACAAAATATTAAAAATGCAATAAGACATCAGCCATTAAAAACTTCCCTAAACAGGGCTGCCTTCAGATGTCTTCTAAAAGCCAGATAGTTTTTTATTTCCTTGACATCTGACAGGAGGGCATTCCACAGGGCGGGCGTCACTACCCAGTTGGTCCAACGTCAGTACACCTGTTCCCACCCAGCTTTTCCATATTACCATCTTTTTTTGCAATTCTTAGTATGGGGTTCCCCCACAAAGTAAGGTTAGCATGTGAAAATGGATAAAATTTGTTTTTATTGTTGAACCTAATGGGCCCCATCTGGCAAAATGGGTCATTTGTTACAAAACAGATAGACACCTGCTGCTTCACCTCAGCCCTCTGCATTCATTTAATGCACCTTCCCAACCCAACCCTTCCTACAAGCATAAAATGAACAGGAATCCTTTAGATCTCTTACCGGATCTGGGACCTCCTCGACGATGGGCCTGCCAAAGGCAGAACAAGGTATAAGTCAGTACTGGGAATATCTTCCTTGGGCCTTCCCAGTGAAGGCATCATTTGTACGGAGGGAACTCAGTGACGGAGGCAGGCGAATTGTGGCCTTCCACGCTCACACAGGCTAAGGAATTATCTGACTCCAGAACCCTGACATTTGGACCAGGAATGTGCATTTTGCAATGAGCAACGCACCTGGGAGCTAATACCTGTCCTGGGGGTGGGGGTGGGGCACTCAGCAAGGAAGCGGCCAATCTGGATGGGAAGAACATTCTAGATCAGGGCCCTGAGGCTTCCCCTCCTGCTTCAGAAATAAAACAACCAACTAAAGTCTTCTTCTTCTTCTTCCTCTTCTTTTAAAGTGTGTTTATCAAACAGTTTGGCCCACAACTCTCAGATGGGTCTGTGACAAAGACATGACCCAGGTAGAGATGGTCAAATACAAACGACTCTCCATTTACACGGGGGTTACGTTCTGAACCCCCCTGCACACCAGTGAAATGGGGAGTCGCCTGTATCAGCTCAGCTTTGCTGGTCCGCAGAGCCGCATGAGCCGGAGGAACAGCATGGCTTGCCCAGCTGATGTGCAGAAAAGCAGCCGTGGCTGCGCTTCCCCGCATGTCAGCTGTTAGATGGGAAGGTCTCCTGCTTGCGAGAAGACCTCTCCACAGAGCCTGAAGAGGATGCCGTCTTTGGGCTCTGGGGAGGGTCACCTTGTGAGCCAGGAGTGCTCCCCATTTCTGGGATCCACTTCCGGTTTCCCTGTACCACACATGTGCACGGTCACGTGCAAATAGAGTGCACGGCAATGGGGAATTGCCTCTATGTCATTTTTTTGTTTCTGTCAGTTTCTCATTTCCCTGCCTTTCCACACCAGTTCATAGCTGTCAACTTTCAGATTTGAAAATAAGGGATCAGCAGCCTCGAAAATAAGGGATCAGCAACCTCACCTGTCCCGGGGACAGGCTACGGGATATCTAACAATCCGGGATAGCAGCGGGAAGCGGCGCTGGAATAAGGGAATTTCCCGCAAAAAAAAAAAAAAGGGGGGAAGGTTGACAGCTATGCACCAGTTTGCATTTTAAAAAAAGCATCAAAATGCATCAACATATTGGTGCAAATTTACCCTAATTTTTGCAAAACCATTTTTACTGATATAATGCATTTTTGTATGTCATTTCGCTAATTTATGCATTTAAATTCTCAATTTGCCCCTGCATATGTGTTTTTGTACACATTTCTGGGCTGGAGAATTGCACTTCCAAATCTGAAGAACGTGCAGGTTTTGAAGGATGGCTCTGCTTTGGTTCTCAGATTCTTTGTGTGTGATTTGAGTGAGTTTGCCTTTAAATGGAGATGGATTGGATTGCCCCTCCCCCTTTTCCTAGACTCAGGTTCTTTGCAAGTCATTGGGAAGCAGGTTGCCCTCCTGTCAATTCAGCGGCCCACCCTACCTGGGAGGCTTCTCTGGGAGAATCTCCAACACAGCATCGTGGGGTGGCAACTTATCTGGGTTTATCTGCAAGACAAAAGACAGTCACTAAAGAAAACTGTCAGGTAAAGGCTGCTGTCACCCACACCCCTGACCCTCATTACTCAGAACACAGTGGAGGCCCAAAGTGGCAGCTGTCAGTGTGGTGCTTTGCTACATTTCCCCTCCCCCCCCGCAGCAGTTGTGCTTTATTTGTTTGTTTGTTTGTACAGTGGTACCTTGGGATGCGAACGGGATCCGTTGCGGAGTCCCGTTCGCATCCTGAACAGAACGTAAAAGGCGTGGGCGCGTGCGCAGGTCGCGTTTTGCTGCTTCCGCACATGCGTGTGACGTCATTTTGAGCGACTGCGCATGCGGCGAAACCCGGAAGTAACGCGCTCCGTTACTTCCGGGTTGTCATGGAGCACAACCCAAAAGCGCTCAACCTAAAGCACATTCAATCCGAGGTACGACTGTATCTGTATACCTCTATATCATTAAAAAAACCTGCTTTACAGCAACCAAAACATACAATACAGTGGTAGCTTGGGTTACAGACGCTTAAGGTTACAGACTCTGCTAACCCAGAAATAGTACCTCGGGTTAAGAACTTTGCTTCAGGATGAGAACAGAAATCACACGGCGGCAGTATGGCAGCAAGAGGCCCCATTAGCTAAAGTGGTACCTCACGTTAAGAACGGTTTCAGGTTAAGAACGGACCTCCAGAATGAATTAAGCTCTTAACCCGAGGTACCACTGTAATACCATAAAAAGCCATATAGGAAGTTCAAAACAGATATCAGTTAACCATGGCAGAAAGTCCTAGTCTTAATTGCCTGCTCAGGCCTGTTTTCAGTAAGCGTTTAAAAGTTGGCACAGAAGGCACCTGATGAATCTCTAGGGCAGGGGTCAAGCAAACTTTTTCAGCATTGGGCCGGTCCACCGTTCCTCAGACCATGTGGTGGGCAGGACTATATATTTTTTTGGGGGGGGGGGAAATGAACGAATTCCTATGCTCCACAAATAACCTAGAGATGTATTTTAAATAAAAGCACACATTCTACTCATGTAAAAACACCAGGCAGGCGCCACAAAAAACCCAGAGATGCATTTTAAATAAAAGGACACATTCTACTCATGTAAAAACACGCTGATTCCCAGACCGTCCCTGGGCCGGATTGAGAAGGCGATTGGGCCGCATCCGGCCCCCAGGCCTCAGGTTGCCTACTCCTGTTCTAGTGGCAGACAGTTCCACAGGACCGGGCCAATGACGCTAAAGGCTCTATTGCTCATTGTTGTCAAACAAGCCTCACGACGCTTCTGCAAGTGATCTGAGTGATCAAGATGGGGTATAAGGGTTTAGGCAGTCCCTGAGGTATCCTGGACCTAAGTTGTTAAGGGCTTTTTAAATTAATACAAGGACCCTGAACCTGGCTTGGGAGCAGGTGGCTGGAAGTTTTGCAGCACTTTGGTGTGGCTGTGTGTTGATGGCAGTTGGCAGATGGCTGCCACCCCATCACCAGAATCTCAGGGAATTGTTGTGTTTTCCTCTGAGGAATTTGAGGCAGCTTATATGGTTCTTTCCCCTCCCTCCTGCTCCCTCAACAGACCTGTGAGGTAGATAAAACAGAGGGATTGTGACTGCTGCAAGGTCACCTAGGCCCCTTCTGCACTATAGCACTAAAGCAGGTCCTACCACTTTATGAACTGGCATGGCTGGGAGCTGTAGTTTGAGGGTGCTGAGGGCTGTTTCCTGATTCCCTTCACAGAGCTACAGTGCTCAAAGTGGTTTTACAGTAATTCGCTCTTCACAGGGAAGCTGCATAAGGCGGGTGGCGTGTAAGGGCAAATCCTTGCACCGACAGAGCCAAAGACTTAAGTGACACTTTGGATACAAGCAAATAGTAATAACAATATTTAATGTCATTTCAATCCAGCCCTCACAGGAATCTATTTCTCCTTTCTATGTTCTGCTTATCCATCCATTTATCAATCTATCATCAATCAGTAGAAAGACACTTGATTATTTAGTTACTTTGGAACTCCCTGCCTATTGATATCAAGCAGGCGCCTTTGCTGTGCTCGTTTTGGTACCTGCTAAAAACATCCTTGTTTAGACCAGCCCATCCAGATGCTGAGAAAGTTGATATGAATGAATTTTAATCTGTTTTCATATTTAACTTTTCTACGTTTCAGAGAATTGTGTCAATTTTTTCTTGTTTTCTTGTTTTAACTTTTTGTAAACCGTTTTGATTGGTTTTTTAAAAAAACAATCAAATAGTATATAAATATTATTAAATAAACAAACATATAATCCTCAGTGTCATGCTAAATTAAACCAAATCCCCTTTGCTGTTACTGCAAATAAGGCCCCTACAAGGAAGGGCATGTAACACTAATTCACACTAAACGAATGTGAAGGTAGACAGCAACAGACTTGCAGCGTAGGACAGGCTCTCACTATACAGTGGTGCCTCAGGTTACATACGCTTCAGGTTACAGACGCATCAGGTTACAGACTCCGCTAACCCAGAAATAGTGCTTCAGGTTAAGAACTTTGCTTCAGGATGAGAACAGAAATCATGCTCCGGCGGCGCGGCGGCAGCAGGAGGCCCCATTAGCTAAAGTGGTGCTTCAGGTTAAGAACAGTTTCAGGTTAAGAACGGACCTCCGGAACGAATTAAGTACTTAACCCGAGGTACCACTGTATATGACAAATCAGAGGGAAGCAACTACAGAGCTCAGCCGGATTTCCTCTCATGGAAGTACATAGGATTGCACCAGAAATGGTTTGTTCAGCCCCAGCCGCAAGAATCCCAAAGTCAAAGAAAGACTGTAAGGATTCTACTTCCTCCTCCTGCAGCCCCAAATACTCACTGTTGCAGAGAAGGGGCGGTAATACAGTGCCATCTGAGTGCTTTGGATGTGCCTCACGCCATCCCATGGGGGGCAGAAATAAAAAGATCCTCTGGCAGAGATCAGATTAACAAGCCTCTCCACTGGTTGCCAGGCGCCTGTCACTCCAAACAGCAACCTCCAGAGGTACGGCACAAACTCCGGAACCGCAAAGCAAACAGGTGTGCTCACCTGTCCTCCCGGAAGAGGCTCCAGAGGGCTTTACATCACATCTGCCGGCTCCATTGCTAACAGAGTCAACTGCTAATGCCAGCTGGACCCTAAACTGCAAGAGGGCAAGCCACAACTCTCCTGTGGGCAGGGCAGGTGTTGGCGCCTGATTGCAGAGGTGACCTGCTGCCCAGCTCACTCTGGAAGCTGCCGTTGCTACAACACAGCTCCTTGTAGCAACCAGGGTGTCAAATCTCCTTTGCCACACACAGGGACACAAATGCAGCATTTGTTGAATGCTGGGGTTTTTTTTGGACAGTTGTTAAAGATGCAGGTGCCTTGGCAGAAAGCAGAAAGGACTACAGAAAGCAGAAAGGATGCGGGTGGCGCTGTGGGTTAAACCACTGAACCTAGGGCTTGCCGATCAGAAGGTTGGCGGTTCGAATCCCCGTGACGGGGTGAGCCCCCGTTGATCGGTCCCAGCTCCTGCCAACCTAGCAGTTCGAAAGCACGAAGTGCAAGTAGATAAATAGGTACCGCTGTGGCGGGAAGGTAAACGGCGTTTCCGTGCACTGCTCTGGTTCGCCAGAAGCGGCTTAGTCATGCTGGCCACATGACCCGGAAGCTGTCTGCAGACAAACGCCAGCTTCCTCGGCCAATAAAGCGAGATGAGCGCCGCAACCCCAGAGTCGTCCGCGACTGGATCTAATGCTCAGGGGTCCCTTTACCTTTACCTTTAAAGGCGCAGGTGCCCTGGCAGAAAACAGAAAAGACTACAGAAAGCAGAAGGATGCGGGTGGCGCTGTGGGTTAAACCACAGAGCCTTGGGCTTGCAGTTTAGAAGATCGGCAGTTCAAATCCCTGTGACGGGGTGAGCTCCCGTTGATCGGTCCCAGCTCCTGTTAACCTAGCAATTCAAAAGCATGTCAATGTGCAAGTAGATAAATAGGTACCACCCTGGCGGGAAGGCAAACGGCGTTTCCATGCGCTGCTCTGGTTTGCCAGAAGCAGTTTAGTCATGCTGGCCACATGACCCGGAAGCTGTACGCCGGCTCCCTTGGCCAATAAAGCGAGATGAGCGCCACAACCCCAGAGTCCTCCGCAACTGAACCTAATGGTCCGGGGTCCCTTTACCTTTAAAGGTGCAGGTGCCCTAGCAGAAAGCAGAAAGGGCTAGAAAAGTTGGACTACAACACTTGGAGGGCTCTGGGTCATCCGCACCAGGTGAAAGGATTGAGATGGACTGTAGGAAGGATGCACACACATATGAACACTTGCAAATCAACAGCCCCTGGTCCCCTGGTCAACGGACGGGGACATTTGCTGCGATGCTCTTTCTGGGAAGCAGGGGTGCCAACGGAGGTCACTTCTACACCATAAAATGAAAAGTGGACATCCAATGAACCTGAATGTTGAGAGATTTGGGACAGATAAAAGGAAGGACTTCTTTATGCAGCACATGGTTAATCAATGGAGCTCCTTGCCACAGGAGGCAGAGATGGCAACCAACATGAGTGGCTTTAAAGGAGGATCAGACACATTTGTGAAGGAGGAGAGGGCTGTTGGTGGCTCTGCTCTTCTTCCACAGTGGGAGGCAGCAATGCTTCCAGATACCAGTAGCTGGAGAGTGAAGGGGGAGATTGCTCTTGGGCTCAAATCCTGCTTGCGGGTTTCCTTTTGGGGCATCTGCTTGGTGTGGGATGTGAAACACAGAGCAGTCAAGTACAACATCCCTGGAGTGGACATAAAAAGGGGGTGTCTGGACCAGCCAGTCGGAACTTCCTGTTTCCTCCTAGGCTGGGACAGACTTCCTCTACATGTGACCAGAGGTGGGCGTGACCTCACCTATGCAAGTAACAAAATACCTCAATGGAAGTCGCCATCTCTCTCTCTCTGACTACATTCATCGAAGAAGCAACATCTGCTTATCCTAAGATGCTCTCTTGGCTTCAGCCAAGAGAGGACAAAGGAGCTGTCTCCTT